GTTTTGGACACAGCCTGCGTCATGTCTTGTCCTCAAATGTTGAATCAAATTGCTGCTGTTAAAACATCCAACTTTCACTCTTCCTCTTGACAGTTAGCAGAGCACAGCAGACAGTCTGCTGGTTTGTTTCCTCCGTGCTGCTCTTAAATATCTCCGAACTGCCGATATGTTACTTCTTCTTCTTCTTTTCTTBTCATCGTTCTTCTTCTGTTATTCGGGGGTGCGGTCGGAAATAACTTGTCAGTGCATTAGCGCCCCCGCCTGGTAGGGATTGTTGTTTACCCTTTGTGCTGCAGCGAAGCACAGGAGGGGACAAAAGCGGTATCGGTTAAGAGTATCGGCCGGCTTTTACGAGTACGAGTACTTGATGCTGGTATCGGATCCGATACCGATACTGGTATCGGAATCGGGACACCTCTAATTAGAACGAACCACAGCTTTTGATGTAAATCTGTTAAAACAGAAGCTGAGTGAAGCATGTGGATTTCAGGTTTGGTGGTGTGTTTTTTTATGGGATTGAGGACAAATGAACTAAATCATTGTAAATTTAAATTTGATCTAACAAAAAAAAAAAATGCTGATCCATGATTTTATGTTTGAAAAATACTACTAAATATTTGTCTTATGGATCCTAACCTCAAATGAATCAAATTGTTAATCTTTTGTTGATAATTTTGACCTGATACTAATGTTTGTTTGTTTGTTTTTTCTTGCAGTGAGCCTGGAGGACCAGTGAGTGTCTGCTTACTCAAGATGTTCTTGTATATTGTCATCAAATAAAAAATTTGAAAAAGAAAAAAAATCTTTGCTGATATTCATTTAAAGAGCCTTTTTCATCTGTTAAAAGCAAATATGTTTAAAATATGATCAATAGATTTTTAGATTTTTTTTTCAGTCCTGCAAAAAAAAAAACCATTTAAAATGTACGGTACATTTAATGTGTTAATTTTTAGATTTTAACTCCATAAATAAAAACAGTTTAACAATTTGTAGCTGTAGTAACAAAAATGTCCAGATGAGGACTCTCTTCACTGAAGCTTAGATGAACCTGTTTACTTGTTGAGATGCAGTAGAAATAATGTAATTGTTCTGAGAATTTTTATAAATAACTCAAATTCAGACAGTCTAGTCCACATTAAAACCTTTTTTTTTCTTTGTTTATGAACACCGTTTGAAGCACAATAAAAAGTCCCTTCTCTCAGAGTGACCTTTTCAGATAATTTGCATTGAAATACCCCGAGACTGTAAATGAAGTGATTAAAATGCCAGGAAATAGTCCTGTCCTCGGGGTAACCTCATTCCCCGCCAGTCTTCACGTCTCGCCTATCCTTATTTGATTTTAGTGCAAGAGCTGCAGATGAAAACAAACCGTACTTGACCTGCAATGAATACCACACAAGGAAACAATGCACTGCTGTATGTGTACAGGTCTACTTAAAATGAGCTTCAATATTGCCTCTAATATAGACATTTGATTTTCTCCATGTCAACCTGAACGTGTTTATTTACATTAATTTAACCAGGCAAATCCCATTGAGATCACAGATGTCTCTTTCAAGGGAGGCCTGAAGGCAGCCTAACGTATTTGGACTGTGTGAAGAAAACCAACACAAACATGAGAAAACTCCCCATAGACCCATAGTTCAAACTGGGAATTGAACCCAGGACCTTCCAGTGATGCAGCAGTGCTAACCATTAAACTGTTGTATCTTTAGACTCTGTTGTTCACAGGAGGGTTTCAGCTGGGGAGTGTTGCAGTGTAGAACAGGTGGGTGACTGTTCTGATGGTGCAGAGGAGGACACATAAGAAGGCTGTAGTGTGTTGCGGCTCGGCGGTGCTCCACTGGTGTGTGGCTGTGGAGGTTTGACATAAGTGGAGCTTTCATCCCAGGGACTGGTAACAGATGGTGTTAGGAAATTAAGCCCCTTTCTCCACAACCCTGTTGGCTCGTCCCAGGAGTCTCTGCCTCTCTCTTTTGTCTCTTGAAACAGCCCCTGTACCCAGTATCCCTCACAGTTTTTTTCTTTATTATGTTTCTCTTCTTTTGTTTCATTGTTGGAATACCAAAACAAATTAGTTTCACACTGTCCCAATCTTAATACAAAGAAATAAAGAGTGCCACGGGTTAGAAAATTGGCACCTTTGAGCTATTAAAAAAGCACATTGTATGAGGGAATACTTACCACCTGCTGCCTGCAAAATAACATGCACAACCTGATGCAAGGTGTCATGCTCAGAGTATGTATTGTGAATGACTCTCAGCTACTACCATGTCAAAATTTAGTTCCATATCTATAAAATAGACAAAGTTACAGCCATTTTTATATTGGCTGCTGTTGATGGCAAGCTGGAATTATGTGACCGAGATTAAATCAGTTGTATAAGTTTCATTAGAATTTGTGTAGTGGTTCATGAGACATTTCAGCAAACAGGCAAAAACATTTACATTTTGGCAGAGGACACTAGAAATAAAACAAAACTAAATATATACAGCGGGTTAAATAAGTATTGAACACGTCACCATTTTTCTCAGTAAATATATTACTAGAGGTGCTAATGACATGAAATTTTCACCAGATGTTGGTAACAACCCAAGTGATCCATACATACAAAGAAATCAAACCATAAATGTCCAGAAATGAAGTTATTTGTAATAATGTGGAATGGCACAGGGAAAAAGTATTGAACACACTTACTGAAATTTATCTAATACTTTGTACAAAAGCCTTTGTTGTCAATGACAGCTTCAAGACGCCTCCTGTATGGAGAAACTAGTGGCATGCATTGCTCAGGTGTGATTTTGGCCCATTCTTCCACACAAACAGTCTTCAAATCTTGAAGGTTTCGTGGACCTCTTCTATGAACTCTGATCTTTAGTTCTTTCCATAGATTTTCTGTTGGATTCAGGTCAGGTGATTGGCTGGGCCATTCCAGCAGCTTTAGTTTCTTTCTCTGAAACCAACTGAGAGTTTCCTTGGCTTTGTGTTTGGGCTCATTGTCTTGCTGAAATGTCCAGCCACGTTTCATCTTCATCATCCTGGTAGATGGAAGCAGATTTTTATCAAGAATGTCTCTGTACATTTTTCCATTCATCCTTCCTTCAATTATTTGAAGTTTGCCAGTACCATATGCTGAAAAACAGCCCCACACCATGATGTTCCCACCTCCAAACTTCACTGTTGGTATGGTGTTTTTGGGCTGATGTGCAGTGCCATTTGACCTCCAAACATGATGTGTATTCTGGCATCCAAACAGTTCAATGTTGGTCTCATCTGACCAGACTATATTCTCCCAGTATTACACAGGCTTGTTTAAATGTTGWGCAGCAAACTTTAAAGGAGCTTCAACATGCTGTTTCTTCAGCAGTGGAGTCTTGCGTGGTGAGCGTGCATACAGGCCATGGTGGTTCAGTGCATTACTTATTGTTTTCTTTGAAACAATCATACCTGCTAATTCCAGGTCTTTTGAAGCTCTCCACAAGTGGTCCTTGGCTCTTGGACAACTCTTCTGATAATTCTTTTCACTCCTCTGTCAGAAATCTTGTGAGGAGCACCTGGTCGTGGTCGGTTTATGGTGAAATAATGTTCTTTCCACTTCTGAATTATGGCCCCAACAGTGCTCACTGGAACCTTCAGAAGTTTAGACATTCTTCTGTAACCGAGGCCATCATTATGCTTTGCAACAATAAGGTTGTGAAGGTCTTGAGAGAGCTCTTTACTTTTACCCATCATCAGATGGTTCTTGTGTGATACCTGGCCATCATTTGGGACTGAACCAGCTTATATTAACTTGCACTGACAAGGGGCAGGCTTGCTTTCTAATTACTGAGAGAGTTCAGCTGGTGTCTTGGCTTTCCATGCCTTTTTACACCTCCCTTTCTTCATGTGTTCAATACTTTTTCCCTGTGCCATTCCACATTATTACAAATAACTTCATTTCTGGACATTTATGGTTTGATTTCTTTGTATGTATGGATCACTTGGGTTGTTACCGACATCTGGTGAAAATTTCATGTCATTAGCACCTCTGGTAATATATTTACTGAGAAAAATGGTGACGTGTTCAATACTTATTTTACCCGCTGAAACTCTACAAAAGGATTGAGAATAAAAATGAGTGAATAGGAAGCTGATGGTGTTTGGAAGGCAATTAGCTTCAGAGCAACTGTGTAGCACATCTCTAAGATACCTGAGGTGTGTGGCTGTGCAAAAGGCCCCCAGGGGCCCTTAAAACACACCACATAAAACCAGATAAAGCAGAAAATCCACCTCTGCTTTTCTTCAGGACAGAAAACGGGCTCGTAATGAGAATATTTTCCTGCCCGCTCATTCAACAAAGGTAATTTTGGGGGTTATGATAAATGCTTACGAGGAGCGTGTGTTTACGCCCTCACTACAGGTGTCGTTTTAATGACCTGGCTCTCTGCATGCAAAGTTGTGGTGTTTGAAGGGAAATGAACAGGATTCATGACGACTTGGTGAGTTTTCACCAACACAATACAAGAAGACATTAAAAGTCAGAATAAATGTCAAAAACAATGATCTTGTTGCTTTGTGAAGACATTTATAAACCATTGCATGCTATGTATGACTATAGTATATTTTATGTCTATTTCTTTCCTCTTTTTAGTTCCTTCTGTATGTTATTTAGGAACTTAAACATATTTTCAGTTATTTGAGACCAGCTTTTAGACCTACATTCAGCTTTTTAATAATGTTTTGGCTATGACTTTGGTGTTTGTCAGCAGCTGTGGCTACAGTTGATCGGTGTGTGAATGTGTAAATGATTGACGTGTAAAGCACTTTGGGGTCTGTAGATATGATAATATAGAAGTTCAAGCCATTTACCATTTGTAACACAAATTTTTAATGCAGTTTAATGCGTCCTTTAGCTTCTTTCAGCTACTTTTTTGTCATTTTAGCAGTATTCTGCCATTTCAGCAACCTTTTAGCTATTTTCCTCTAATTTTAGCTTTGTTTCAGCTGAATTAACCTTTTTTTGATCATTTTTTATAATTACTTACTGCTTAACGCATTTAGCAAACATGCTCTTTCAGCCTTTTTTTGTTAGTTTCTACATTTTCAGCTACTTTTTAGCTTTTTTTTAACTTAATTTCAGCTGATTTAGCTATTTTACATGTTGCAATTTTTTTGTTCTCCTTTTTTTGTTAATTTAATCTTTTTTCCTCCTTTAATTGTCTGTCTGCTGATTTCCACTTGTTTCTGCTACTTTTAGCTTTGTTTTGCTAATTTTAGTTACTTTGACTTGACTTGATTTAAGCAACTTTCAGCAAAAATCTTTCAACATTTCACTCTGCATTTAGCAGGAAGTGCAAATTTTTGAATTGTCTTTGTATTTTTCTTTCTTATCAGAAGGACTCTTCACATAAAATCTTCAGCATGGCTTCATTTTAGCTTTTAGCTATTAGTTTTACTAATTTAGTCTAATTTACGTTTTTTTAGTCACTGTTCTGGTTTTAGCTTCTACTGCTCTGATTATTGTAGGTTTTATTATTGTTTTGTTGGTTTTAACTCTGTCACTGTTCTTATCGATTAGCTTTCAGCTACTGCTTTTCTAGTTTTAGCTTTACACTGTTCTACTGGGTTTTTATTTTCATCTAGACGAGGATATCTTTTTTAGTTATTGTTTTGCTGGTTCAGCCACATTTTTGATGGTTTTAGCATTCAGCTACTCTTTTACTGGTTTTAGCTTCTAGTTAATGTTCTGATGGCTTTAACTTTTAGCTAAGTTGGGTTTTGATTTTTTGCTACTGCTCTGATCAGGTTATCTTT